AGGCTGCACACACAATAGAAGAGAGATCAACTACCCCTCCTGCCTCTGGTCACAAAATCTACATAACATAACAAAACCAAGGCACGGAAAGTTGAAAGTCACTGTTAACCCAACTTTTCCCCTTCACGCAAAGAGTAGTTTCAGTATGCAGCGAGTACGCAACAAAAAAAACAGCTTTGGAGCATGCTATCACCCGAACCCGAATGAAACGGGCTCCCCACTTGCAATGTTGTCATCATGCATCCACAGTCATATAAGTTGAGAGCAGCCACCGCTACGGGTCTTCCTCTACTCATGTCCGACCCAGAATGAAGTTTCTCAAATTTATTTGCAATGCCAAGGCCGACGTCCGCGACGCGAGCCCGAATCAAACAAACCGCCCACCTTAAAATCACTGAAGGAACATCATGAAAGGTGGGTGCAAACCACTGCTCTCTGCCTGCATTGAATCCTTGATCGGGTGCATACAAAATCACCACTCGAAAAAGAATTCAACCACAACTCCAGCGGCTTCAGCAGCCGTGGAGTTGTAAAATCTACAAAGTAAAATCAACACCCCAAAAGAGCCGGAAACTTATACTAAGCTAATTCAACTTCATCACCTCACGCAAGGAGTTCTTAGAAGGTGCCAGGTAAGAAGCAAAAAAACAGATGCCTCAATCATCTATAACCAGGGCCCGAATTGAACGGGTTTCCCGTTGCATGGCTTGTGGCAGGAAACAGGGGTAGGTGCATGCCAACGCTACGGGTCTTGCTTCACTTACACTGGGTCCGACCCAGAACAAAGTTGCTCAATTTTGAGCATTTTGCCACATGCCACTTTCTAATGTGTTGTTGATCACATCAAGGTGTACACTTAACCAAAGGACTACAATTAAGTTACATACTCGAGAAATGCTGAATCCATCCAGGCTTCTCAGCCCGAATTAGTCCCCTTGAATTTTGGCTAATTTCCCTTGTTTTGTGGGCTGGACAGGTGAAATTTTTGACTCTCATCTTCGCTGCTGAAAAAAAGAATTTCGATATTGATACTGAAATACAAGTAACTTGGCCATTTACGTGTCACGTACATCCCATATATCACTATACAAATGGCCCTACATTCAACTTTGACGGTAAATTACACACATTTCAAAATTCAAGGTAATTTATAACATACTAGAGTTCTGTAAAAACCCATGTTATCTGATCATCTCTCTGGAAGCCGCTACCTCGTCAGATTCCTCTCTCTGCACATTCATGTCCGCACGGTGGCTTGGAGAATCCGAAGGATGTGGGAATGGCCTCTGTTGGCTGCTGCTTGCAGTGCATTTTCATATTCCCCTCCCTCTGCATTCACATCGGTGTCTTTGTCAAGAAGGACCTGGACAATCTCGGCATGACCTCTGTACGCTGCTGCCTGGAGTGCATTTCCAAATTTCCCTCCCTGTGCATTCACATCAGCACCTTTGTCAAGAAGGACCTGGACAATCTCGGGATAGCCTCCATAGGCTGCCGCCTGGAGTGCATTCCCAAAATGCCCTCCCTGTGCATTCACATCAGCACCTTTGTCAAGGAGGAGCTGAACAACCTTGGAATTGCCTCCATAAGCAGCTGCCTGGAGCGCATTTCCATATTGCCCTCCCTGTGCATTCACATTGGCGCCTTTGTCAAGGAGAAGCTGGACAATCTTGGAATTCCCTCCATAGGCTGCTGCCTGGAGTGTATTTCCATATTCCCCTCCCTGTGCATTCACATCGGCACCTTTATCAAGGAGGAGCTGAACCACCTCGGAATGACCTTCAGAGGCTGCTGCCTGCAGTGCATTTCCATGTCTCCCTCCCTGTGCATTCACATCGGCACCTTTATCAAGGAGGAGCTGAACCACCTCGAAATGACCTTCAGAGGCTGCTGCCTGCAGTGCATTTCCATGTCTCCCTCCCTGTGCATTCACATCGGCACCTTTATCAAGGAGGAGCTGAACGACCTTGGAATGACCTTCAGAGGCTGCTGCCTGGAGCCCATTTCCATATTCCCCTCCCTGTGCATTCACATCGGCACCTTTGTCAAGAAGAGGCTGGACAATCTCAAGATGGCCTCTGTAGGCTGCTGCCTGCAGTGCATTTCCATATTTACCTCCCTGTGCATTCACATCCGTGCCGTTGTCAAGGAGAAGCTGGACAATGTTGGGATGGCCGTCATAGACTGCTGCCTGCAGTGCATTTCCAGAAAGGCCTCCCTGTGCATTCACATCAGCACCTTTGTCAAGGAGAAGCTGAACGACCTCGGAATGGCCTCTGTTGGCTGCTGCCTGGAGCGCACTTCCAAAATACCCTCCCTGTGCATTCACATTGGCACCGTTGTCAAGGAGAAGCTGAATGACCTTGGAAGAGCTTCCGTAGGCTGCTGCCTGGAGTGCATTTCCAAAAAATCCTCCCTGTGCATTCACATCGGCACCTTTGCCAAGAAGGACCTGGACAATCTCGGAATGGCCATCGTAGGCTGCTGCCTGGAGTGCATTTCCATATTGCCCTCCCTGTGCATTCACATCAGTACCTTTGTCAAAGAGGAGCTGGCATATATCCTAGTGGCCATAATATGCTGCAACGGTTAGCACCTCAGCATCAGCATATTCTTCGACATATTCCAAGAAATAGCTTGCTATCTTCACCATATTTACCGAGGCTGCAATCCACAAAGGTGAGGGAGAGTCAGGCCAGAAATGAAAGGTCCATGGAGGGGAATGCCATTCCCATCGATCCCACTGTTTCTTGAATCCCTTTAAGTTCCCTTCTTTGAGAAACTCTATAATGACATCTCTCAACTCCTTTTCACATAATTGAGCATGTACCAGACAATACTGGCAATATTCAAGAAGTGGTGGCATGTTGTACCGAGAAATGGCTGCTGGGTCCAAGAATTGCTCGAATTGCAAATATGTTAGCAAGCTTTGTGTGATTTTGACATGTGGGTTTGTAAATTCCTCCACTTGGATGCCATCCAGATATTTCTGAGTAGTAAAGTGGACAAGTCGGACCAAAGAACTATGTTCTTCCAGGATTATCAGGCCTGCACAGACAGAAAGAATGACACTGATATCAGTGATATTGTCTTGGTTCAATTCTTTCATTCCTGGCTCAATCGTGAGAGCTTCACATAGCTCTACACCGGTCAGAGGTCTTTTTGCATTGACAACCCAGATAAGTGCAGATTGTGCAAGCTCCCATTCATTCTGGGGCAAGGCATTGATCCGGTCCATGATATTCTTATACATGTGGTCCAGATCCTTTGGGAGATGTTGCAAGGCTTGTCGAACTTCCTTTACATTGGTTGCTGTGCGCAACACATCAACATGAAGCTTGGCAAGCAAGAACCTGGTGGTGTGATTTGTTAGATAATTCTCTTCAATTACATGCCATATGGCACTTACATTCCATCAACAGTATGGCTTATCTTTGAACAAATTTCCCCTTTCAACCCTGTCTCCTTCTTGACATACTGAGACAGACGCACAGACAACTTGATTTGTGCCTGTACATATGTTTCTATGTCTTTCTGACTTGCCGATATCTCGAGTGTGTCAGGATTTGAAAACCACTGAGCTGGAGAAATATGGGGCCTTGACAGGACCAATAGATTGATGGTAGGCCCCAGGCCAGCCAAGTCTGTGGCTAGGACACCCCACTGATTTTCTGGGTATTCATCAACCCCGTCGAGAATGATGTAAACCCGTGTAAACCTGAGAAGTGCAAGGGAGAAAAGTTTCTGAATATCCTTGTCTGAAGGCCTTGTCTTCTTCTGAGCATGTTCCTGATATAGCTGGTATGCAGCACCAATAGGTTGGCTTGGAATAAGCTGTCTCCAGAGTCCTGCAAGCAGATTGTCCAGGGTTTGAACCTGAGTCTCCTTGTGGTTGAAATAGATGCATGCTACTCCAATATCCTTGCTTTGGAGGGCATTCAAATTGTCTACTACAAGAGAGCTATAATTATTATGTAGATCAGTAAAGATCTGGAAGTAGGATTGAGACCCACGCAAGCACAGTCTTCCCAGCACCAGCTAGACATTTTATTAATCAAGCTGAGAGACTGATAGCATGCTGTTGTTACGTACGTATTCCAGAGCACCACAGAACTCCTCTAGTGCTTGATTTCCACTGCTTGAACTCAGGGTGATTCAGCAGCCATTCACCAGTTCCTGGCTGTCGGCTTTTGGAAATGTCCTGTTGTCGAATGAAGAAATTGATTGGGGACAACCATTCAATCACTGCATCCCTTTTTGCAGCTGGAAAGTGTTCAGCATCTGAATGAAGAAAAGAAATTGGTTGTTACCATCCATTTGATCCCTGGGAGCCATAAAATCAGAAGAAACCTTGCAAATAAATAAACATAACATACCAGAGGTCCAGTATCAACCAAGAATTAATCAAGCTTTTAACTTGCTCCAACTTTTTGATGTCTTCATTTGCCTTCTTTTTGTTCCTGGATGCCCATACCACTCTTTTTATGAGTTTTCTGATTGGGCCTTTTCCCGGTTGCAACCTTTCAGTAAGCTGTTCCACATCCTTGCACAATTTGGTCAATGGATCCTCCATTCGCGGAAGAACACCCGCTGATGGATTGGCCTGGATGCGGCGGCGGAGTTCCTCCAGAAGTGGTTTGAGATCCTCCATCTCGGTCAGCAGTTTCTTCTGTTCCTGTGGTGCTTCGTGTGTATCTTCGATGAACTCTGTGACCTTTAGTGCAGTACCCAGAAGACTGAGTGCAGCCTCGACAATCCCTAGTACCTCTGCCATGGTGGGAGATGACAAGATGCGAGAGCGAGGGCACGCTGTTGGCACGTTGACTGTATCAATTCATGTGTCACTTGACTGCACAGCTTCCACACACCTTCTTGACAGCTTCCATTCCGTTTCGATATAATTAAGTAGGACCCTCATTCTCATTGACGAAAGTTGTGCAGTTGTTTCGAGTTTGTGGTTGTCAGAGCACTCGCAACAAAAATAATTCTACGAAGACCTAGGCGCCCACCGGGAGTCGAACCCGGGGCTCCTCCAATTGAGTATAGAGGTGTGTAACCGTTACACCAAGAGCGCATCATAAATTTCAACCAGGATTTGAATGGGCTATCTCTGGCTGCTTGCGTATCTTCAGTTGTGAGAGAGCGAGGAGAAACGGTCAATGGAAAAAAGAGTTGCATTTGTCAAGGAATGGAGGGTGAAAAAGTGCTTGGAGCCACACAGGCACCCGGAGAGCGCCTCGAACCCAGGAGAGAACCTTTTCAACTCCAACAGGCGCCCTCCGGGAGTCGAACCCAGAACCACTCGAGTTCGCACGACAGTGAGTGTGCGGTAGCTTACCGTTACACAGGCGGTTGCTGGCTGGCTTCCCCTATCACCTTCCCTACCAGCTACACTCAATTTCCTCTGACGCGCAGTCGCACCTGTGCGCGCGGATCAGGCTTGGCACCGGGGAACTCCACGAAGTGAGCGAGGCGGAATGTGATTGGCGGCCAATTGGCGGCCCGGTGATAAGTGCGCGCGCTTCTTCGGCATCGGCGTGCGGGGATCCGCAGGTTATTTTGCGTTTCTCTCAAACTGAGGAGGAGGAGGAGGAGTGTACAAGATGCCAACGAAACACGCCCCTATTCATGTTCATCTCACGCTGCCCCGCTAACTCCGTGATGCGAACTTGCCGTGCCAACGCGCTCCTTCCCATACACGCCCAACTGCAGCTCCGAAAACCTACGCGAACGCCGCCAGCTCGGACCGCCGTGGACTCCTGTCCCCTTCACGGGCAACTCGCTCGACTCCGCCTCTACACGCCCAACGCCGACTCCTCTTCCTTATCCCATCGACATCGACTACACGGGATTCAAACCGCGTTTCCGACACCGTTTGCGCAGGGGCAAGCACAACAAGCTGGCGCAGACGCACGCGGTGCTGACGCCGGCGCTGGCGGATGCAATTTGTCACGGTGGAGAGATTCGTGGACGTGCAATGGATATAGTCTTATTTGATGCGTAGTGCGGATAGTAGGTGCCGTTTCTCCTTATATTTTACCTTTCTACCGGCTGCGTGCGCCTTCCCTTTCGTCGTTCATTCCTACATTCTACCCATCCATCCTTCCTGCATTCAAACCTTTCCTTACTGTCCTCCTCTCTCGCGTCCCCTTCCCCTCCGCGTTCTCTCGTCCCCTTCCTGACGCAATACTTCCGACCGGCGTCGTTAGCCATACGTCGCGTCGCGTCGAGTGGCCGCGCATTGCATCGCCGCTGATAACGATGACCGGAGCCGGATGCAGCTCGTGCGTTCGTGTGCGTTCGCATTCGCGGCCGCGGCGCTCCATTCGCCCTCACCCTTCCCTCATCTTCGCGTCCTCCCTCCATCGCGCTTCACCTCGCCTTCGCCTTCCCTTCTTCCCTTCTTCCTTTCTTGTGTGCCTTGCGCGCGCCGCCTGTCTGCTGTGTACCCCCGAACGGCGTGTACGCTGATGCTGCGCCTCACAACGCGCCGTCCTTGGGGCCTACGTGTCGCGCGCGGGCGCGTCGGTGTTATCATCTCGAGGCGGCGGCACCTTCGCGCAGCTCGTACGAGCTTCACGCGGTGGGTGTGGGTGTGGGTACGCGTTACTACCTCCCTTCCCTTCTTTCCTTTATTCCTCCCCCTTCCTACCCTCGACATCAAACACCTTCCTTCTTTCCTTCTCATTCCTTCCTCCCCCCTATTGTACTCCGCGTTTTTTTTACAAGCTCGCTAACTCCCACCCTTTTTCAGTTTCTTCTCCCAAATTCACCGCATCGCCTCCCTCCGAGGAGGACGTCCTCCGCGCGCGAGCCAGAAGTACCGCGATTATCGATGCAAGATTTTTTGGGGATTTGATGTGAGTGGGTTTCTCTATTCTTTTTGGGGGGGGCGACAGGAGGGGAAGGGCGTCGGGCGTGGACGGTGTCGAGGGCCTGTGGACCGCGTGGAACGATGTTCACGGCATGGTGCGTTCACGGAGAGGGCGCGCGTCACCGCGGTGGTGGCTTTGGCTTCGACGTCGGCAGCACGAAGTACTCGTTACGGGCGAGTGTTGGTGGATGTGGCCGTGTGGTGTGTGGGCGCGAGTGCGAGTGCGAGTGCGAGTACGGACTCGACCAGATGAGACCGCGATGGTCGACGTGCGGCGTGCGAGGCGGATGGGTGTGGGGATGGCGCCACGTGCGGGTGGGGGATGTGCATGAGCTGCGTACGCGGTGTGCGGGGTGGCTCGACCTCGGAGGTGTTGACGCGGCAGTAACGCTGGTCGATGCGGTGGCATTCCCGGAGACCAAGCTGGCGTGTAGATGTGTCGGTGTTTGCGCTGGGCATCGGCCTTGAGCGGGCTCTGAGGTGGACGTGGGTGGTGGGCCGGATGTGCATGCGTCCATGGCGCGGGGCGGGGTGGGTGTTGGACGCGCGCAAATGACCCGAGTGCCAACTCGAGACGTGTCGCGTGGCTTTCTCCTCGTCCCGGGCGGGGTGGGGTGCGTCGTCGTGTCGCCACGTTTTCGTCGAGGGGCACGAGTGGGATGGGGACGGCTCTTGAGCGCGAATGGGGCGTGTGCGGCGATGCGGTGTGCGACGACGTGTTTCGCTTTGCGGGAGCGGAGGTGGTGGTGCTCGCGTTGCTGTATCGCCTGCCCAGCCCGCGCGTTCCCGTTTGCGGGTTTGCAAACCACCTTTCGTGTTGCAGACAGCGCGGACACGTCGTCGTGTCGTGTGTTTCGCGATATAATCCGGCGGACGGCGCGAGTGGCACGACGGGGACGTACAACCGCAGAACGGCGCGGACACGAATGCGTGCGGGTGCGTACGTCGTTGCTTGCATGGTGCTGCTGCTTCCCTTGGTCTTGGATTGAGTGTCGACGTCGGGCGTGCATCAGGCGTGCAGTATATCGTCGACATTCTCTTTTCCTCCTCCTCTCTTCTCCCCCTCCCCTCCTCTCCTCCCTCTCCTCTCTTCTCAAATAACCGACGCTGACCTTCGTATTTTCCAGGATCCACATGTTCGATGTCGGCGGCCAACGGAGCGAGCGGAAGAAGTGGATCCATTGGTTTGAGAGGTGCGTTCCAGTTTCCTTCTTACGCTCTTTTTTCTTCTTTTGGCGTACTTGGGCGGGGATGGAGAGCGTTTTGTTGGGCGGGGAGGGGTTCGAGGAGAAGTTTGGCGCGAGTTGCAAGCGGGCGGGGACGAGGAATTTGGGACTGTACATCGTCCGGGTCCCGAATGAGTGCTGGTGGGAGCGTCACGGGATGGCGGTGTATGCTGCCCGCAGTGCCTTGTGCTTTCGAGCGTCCGGCGGCGGCGGTCGTGCGTTTTGGCGCTAGGGCATGCGGCGCGAATGCGGGGAGCTGGTGTTTGCAGCTCGAGGACGAGTTTGAACAGCGAGGGCGTAGAAGCCGTTCGCTGGTAGAGGACGACGGTGGATGCGCAAGATATACGTGCGCGCCTTAAGCCAGATTGAGGCGCGGGCGTTGGGCGTTGGGCGTTGGGTGTGTGGAGCAGAAGCAGGAGCAGACGCGCGATGGAGTGGCGGCAATTGGTGGCGTCGCGACGCAGGCCGTATCCAGGGACGCGGAGGATACCAGCGCAACTATACTACTCGCCGGCTGGCGGACGATGCTCGGGTGGTCGTGGACTTGGCGGAGCACACTGGCTCGCGATGGTGTCGACGATCTATCTGGGTCGTGCTGGACGTCAGTGAGCTTGTGTACGCGGACGTGGACGTCGCCCCCTGTTTTTCGTTTGTGTGGACGACAACAGCATGACGCGGCTACGGCGGTGGTCGGGAGATGGGTGGGGACGGCCACCGATCGGCTAACTGACTTTGGTGTCCGTACCAAGAGCTCTTACCTTTCGAATCTTCTCCAAATCTCCTTGATACCCCGTCCCGCCCTACCCCCGCACACCCTCGTCGTGTCCGGATGGGAATGGGTGCAGAGTGAAAGCGGAATTTCCGGTAGGTCTCTGCTTTCGGTGGCGGTGTCCTTTCTTTCCCTTATCTTTCTTTCTCTATCCTTCCCTCTTTTTGTCCTTCACCTCTTCTTTGCCCGCCGGCCGCGAATATCCTGCTGAGTTTCTTCATTTTATTCGCAGTGTGACGAGCATTATCTTCTGCACGGCGTTGAGCGAGAACGACCAGGTCCTTGAGGAGGAAAGGCGGGTGGTGCGTGTGCGTTTGCCTTTGCTTCATCGTTTTAGTTTCCTTTTGCTATTTCGTTTTGCTGGCGTTCATTGCTGGAGAGCTGGTTGGTGTTCGTTCCTTCGGGTAATGTCAATAATCAAGCAGAAGGTCGTCCTGGAGTCTATCGCGACCAGAGGGTAGTCGCGACGTGCGGGGCCTGCGCGGATACGATTACCGCCGGCATGTAGTGGACACTACGAGCCAATGGACATTTAATGCTGGCGGCGGATTCTACAAGTCGGTGCGGTGCATGCGTGCATGAGCGGCGATGGTGTACGGTTTTTCGAGGGCGAGCTTGCTGTCGCGCGTGCATCGTGTACTGGTGGGATGCGGTCTCGATGTTGGTGCCTTGCGGGAGACGCGCGGTGGGCGCTAGCAGATCTCGCACTATCCCCGCTCTCTGAACGCATGCTTGCAGCAATTTCATCATGTTTTGCTTATTTCATTCCTGGGTTCCGGTGCTGTAATAGTCTGCCTGTCGTCGATGATAATGGGGACCGGCATTACAAGGGGTTGATCTGGCAGCTTTGTCCTTGTTTGGTTGGCAGGGACCCACGGTTCCATTCTCGCAAACCTATCAGCGCTTTCCCTGGTCACTTCCGAGCTTTGACTCAAAGGAAACTCGGTGAGGAAATAAGCATTAGAATGGAACTACCAGGCTGTTTTTTGCATTTTCAACGAAGAATTCTGAGTTAACGGTCAACTCATTGAAGATTGGGCAGGTTTCACGGAGGAAATGGTCTACGACGAAAATCTGGCTTAATACTTCTGATGCCAGTCACCTTTCCATGAGAATTGTCTGTTATACATAAGAGATCCACAGAGTTTTCGAGGAGTTGATAGCTTTTTGTGGCCGGAGGGGAAATTCCCTCATACCAAGATAAA